AGAAGCCCTCCCAATGTCAGAATGTCCGCCACAGTCCCGCCATAAGTCGCTGATTGCTGCCATAAGTCGCTGATCGCCACCATCAATCGTTGGTTGCCACCATTATTAGTATTAAAAAAAACGCTATAACTTACACGTAAACCAATTAATTTACACATATTGGGATTTTTTGTTTAGCAAAGACGTTGCAGAAAACATTTTGGCCTAAATTTATGACGAAATTTGATTTTTTTCATTTTTTTTACTGGACATGTTTTATAGCAAAAAGTCCAAAATATTGTTTTTTTCTCAAAATTGTTAGACTTTTTTTTTTATAGCACAAAAAATCAGAAATGCACAGGTGATCAAATACCACCAAAAGAAAGCTTAATTCGAGGGGAAAAAAGATGTAAATTTCATTTTGGAGCAGCGTTGCATGACTGCGCAATTGTCAGTTAAAGTAATGCAGCACCGTAGCACAAACTGCTTCTGTAACCACTTCCTGACCACCCTATAGCAGAAATACTGCTACAGGGCGGTACGGGTGCGCAAAATCACATATATGCATGGTTTTCACGCCCCTCACAGATAGCACCAGATTGCCCATCAGTACATCAGTTATTACATTTAACCCCTTGATTGCCAGGAAAACACTCATACACAATAAACATCCATTGCTAGTATAGTGTCTGATTCCACCAGCACTATAGATAGATCAGCACTATACCAGCATTCACATTAGTATAGTGTCCCCTTTAGTGGGATCAGCCCCGGCACCTGCCAGCACCTGCGCTTAGCCCCTATGCTTACCCCCCTTCACCCCCAGCAAGTGCAGTGTCAGTAGGTTACTGTCACTTGATACATTGCACACAGAATCAGGCCTGATCTCTGTTAGCACTTACCGGTAAATTTTGATGACTCTCATATACAGAGTACCAGTACTAGTGCCACACTACCTTTTGGTGAACTGGCGAGCACCAGCGGCCTAGTACATCCTGGTCTTTCACATACCAGCACTGCAGTATCACTTGGTGATGTGGCGAGTCCCATAAGTGCAGTACAAGCTGGTGAGGTGTCGAGCACAAGTATTGTCCCACAACCACCAAGAATTCGCACACAGGCCCATAGAGCCCCTAGTATCCTTCCGGATGTGCTTGCAAATCCCAATTGGCAGCCCACAAATTCTGCAGCATTTGTACTTCCCCCATTCACTGCCCAACCCAGAATTCAGGTGGAAACAGCAAATTTAACTACTACTCCCTTGATTTTGTGGATCAAAGCAATTTATATGCACAAAAATTTATTGCCGCCAACCCAAATTGAAACCTTGCCAGACCATTCGCATGGAATCTCATTATGGTTTCCGAATTTAAATTTTTTGCCCTCAACATGGGCATTACTGAAAAAAATGAATTGCAGTTGTTTTGGTCCACGGACCCGATTCATCATATCCCCTATTCTCTGCTGCCATGACCAGGCATAGATACGAGAGTATAATGTGTTTTATGCATTTCAACAACAATACACTCTGTTGTCCTCGAGGTGACCCTGAATTTGACCGGCTCCACAAAATTCAGCCCCTCGTAATACCTTAACCAAAAATTTGCAGATGTCTATACTCCCCAGCAAAAAATCTGCGTTGATGAGTACCTCATTAATTTTTCTGGCCGCCTTGCATTCAGACAATTTCTCCCCAGCAAGCGTGCCAGATATGGGGTCAAGATGTAGAAGACCTGTGAGAGGGCAACAGGCTATACATAGAAGTTTCAGATATACGAGGGATAAGATAGTCATGTGGAGCCCCATGGATGCCCAGACTACATAGGGAGTAGTGGCAAGATAGTGTGATTAGATAATGTAAGAGCAGAGGAAATATCTAGAGTCTGATAGACCCCAGATTTCCCAAAAAAGAATATATGACAATTGAAGTTATAGTGGATATTTGCATTCCCTGTGATAGCATTAAAAGTGATAAAAAAAAATAATGAAAGGGACAGGGTAAAAATAATTTAAAAAAATCAAAATAACTTAAAAAAAAAAAAAAAACGCACCCTTGCCCCCCTGTGCACGCACACCTCTGTGATAAGCGTTGACCCTGTGCTGGTATGTAAACAGGGAAAAGGAAAATGACAACAATTTTTTTTTTTTTTTTTTTTTTACACAAAATTGTCACTTAAATGATTTATTGCTCACACATGCCATAGGTATATTATTATTATTATTATTATTATACAGTATTTATAAAGCGCCAATAGTTCACTCAGCGCTGTACATTACAAAGGGGGACAGAACATGTGACAGAACAATACCAATACAATGCAAAACATGAGGGGATCGAGGGCCCTGCTCTTTCGAGCTTACAATCTAGAAGGGACGGGATAGTGGTACAGGAGGAGATAGCTGTGGGGGATGGAGTGGTAGGAAGAGTGGAGGAGGTCAGCAAGTTAGCAGGGGGTGAGGTAGGCTTCCCTGAAGAGATGGGTTTTCAGGGTACGCCTAAAGGAGAGGAGAGTAGGTGATAATCTGATGGGTTGGGGAAGGGAGTTCCAGAGGATGGGTGACACCCTGGAGAAGTCCTGGAGGCGGGCATGGGAGAAGGAGACCAGGGAACTAGAGAGAAGGAGGTCTTGTGAGGAGCGGAGTGTGCGTGCTGGGTTGTACTTTGATATTAGGTCAGTGATGTAGTTCGGGGCAGTATGGTGGATGGCTTTGTACGTCAGTGTTAGGATTTTAAATTTGATCCGTTGCGCAATCGGAAGCCAGTGGAGGGATTGGCAGAGGGGGTGGCGGAAATGGAGCGGTTGGAAAGGTGAATGAGTCTGGCAGCCGTATTCAGGATCGACTGAAGCGGGGATAGCCAGCGGCGAGGCAGGCCAGTGAGGAGGGAGTTGCAGTAGTCGAGTCGTGATATGATGAGGGAGTGGATGAGCTGTTTAGTGGTTTCTGGGGTTAGGAACGTGCGGATTTTGGCGATGTTGTGTGGAGGTGGAGTCTGCACGAGTTTGTTAAAGATTGGACTTGGGGCTGGAAGGATAGGTTGGAGTCCAGAATGACACCAAGTACTCTGGCCTGCAGAGCGGGTTTGATATTGGCGTTGTTGGATGTGATGTAGAAGTCAATGGGGGGGTGGGGTTCGGGCTGGGGGGATATGGGTATATGTGGAATTACTCCCCAAAATACATTCTGCTACTTCTCCCAAGTATGGGGGTACCACATGTGAGAGACATTTTGGCAGTCTCGCCAAGTACAGGACCCCAAAATCCAATAAGCACCTTCAGGCTTTTAAAGGGCTTTATTTCCTCATACTTCCTGACTACCTATCACAGTTTCGGAGGCCCTGAAATGACAGGATAGCACCAACCTCCCCCCCCCCCCAAATGACCCCTTTTTGGAAAGTAGATACCTTAAGGAATTTGATAAGAAGCATGATGAGTATTTTGCAGATCTCGTATGTTGCCACAAGTTTTCAGAAAATGAAGAAAAAAAACAAAAACATATTTTTTCTTTTTTTATATATTCTAAAACCTTGTGAGAAAAAATTAGATCTGCAAAATACTCACCATGCCTCTTTTTAAATTCATTGGGGCTAGGCTCCCAAAAAGTCTCACACATGTGGTATCCCCATACTCGGTAGAAATAGTGGAATGTATTGTGGGATGCAATTTCACATATACCCATGGCTAGTGTGAGAAATATATCATTTAAATTACAACTTTGTGTAAAAAAAAAAATTTTGCTGCTGAAACTTTGTGAGAAAAATTGAGATCTGCAAAATACCATGCCTCTTTTTAAATTCATTGGGGTGTCTACTTTCCAAAAAGGGGTAATTTGGGGGGGGGGGGATGTTCGTGCTTTCCTGGCATTTCAGGGCCTCTGAAATTGTGATAGATAATGAGGAAGTGAAATGAGGAAGTTTCGCACCTTCAGGCTTTCAAAGTGATCATTGGATTTCAGGCTCCTGTATGTGGCTAGGCTCCCAAAGAGTCTCACACATGTAGTATCCCCATACTTGGTAGAAATAGCAGAATGTATTGTGGGGTGTAATTTCACATATACCCATGGCTCGTGTGAGAAGTATATCATTTAAATTACACTTTGTGTAAAAAAAAAAAATGTTTTCTGCTGAAACTTTGTGAGTTGTATAGTACTGCTTGGACTTTGAAGAAGGGACATACCCGAAAGCTTGTGCTCAAAATTGTATGTTAAAAAAAGTATCACGGACAGTACTCAATTGTTTCTGTCACAAATGAACTAATACGGCTACAATCACCTCAAACAAAATGGAAGATACTGCATATAGCCGCATAAAGAAGCAGTTAACCAACCTAATCACAAAGGAAACACAGATCAACAGTGATATTTTTCTTTCTCTCAAGATGCAAAAAGAGGAATCTCATACCACAAGGCCTCCAGATTAAAGATCCTGCATAAATACAATCAACTCTCCTTATGCAGAAGGACTTTGCAGAAGCACCAGCGAGAGATTAAAAAAATCACCTCATTCACAAACTGTATGGAAAAAGGGTAACTATCCAGATACAAAAGCAGTCTTTGTTTGAAACCCTAACATCATTGGACCCTACCAACATTAACCAAATAAAGAATGAATTGGAAACTTTACAAAGATAAACACAAAAAACTTGCCATGAATGGGAAACAAAAAAAAAACTTCAGAAGCTGCACCAAGAGCAGACCTTTTAGATACAACCTAAACATAAAAGCAACCCAACATCTATACCTCCTACTATCAGTGACCTGGAATCTAATCCGGAATCCCAAGGTATCCCTTGTGTAAATGCTGACCTGACTGAAAATGTGGATATAACAGAGGGAACTTGGAATCATCAACTTGTCAAAGCATAAACTTTCCGAACCAGAATTAACCATCCTCTCTCAAAGGCCTTACATTCTGCCCAACCACCAAATTGGATCATTTACAATTATTGTAAGATATGGAGGATTTCTTCAGGAGATTAAGGCTCAAAGAATATTTCCACAATAATGAAAGGAATCCTAGGACAATGGAGTGCTACACAAAGAAAAAGAACAGGTGCTTCACACCTCCACAAGGACGCAACCCCAAACTGGACACCTATATTGTTAGCTTCAGATTGCAAGCTACATCCCTGATATCCAGCCAGCAAAAGAAAATTCTGTACAATCTTTCACCACTATAGCGAAGGGCTATACACGATTTGTGCAATAATCAGGCCATCACCATCAAACCAGCGGATAAAGGGGGAGCAGTAGTTGTGATGGATACAAACAAATACATACAAGAAGGCCAGAGGTAGCTGGAAAACGCCATCCAAATATAAAAAACTGGAATATGATCCGACCCAGAACTTTACAAAGCAATTAAAAGGTCTCATTAAAACGCTTCCAGCCCACCTACATTCAGAACTTATAAATGCGATTCCGGATCATCCAGAAATCGGGGACTTCTACATGCTGCCGAAAGTCCACAAGCCAGGAAATCCAGGCAGACCCATCATAACAGGTATGAATACACTCACCAAACAAATCTCAGGCTTTGTAAAAAAAAATTTAAAACCGTTAGTCATGAATACTGCTAGTTTCTGAACAAGATTAACATACAGCAATTACCATCTAATACACTTCTAGTGACTATGGATATAGTATCCCTGTATAGTAATATCCCTCACAAGGATGGATTAGCTGCATGTCTGTCACGATCTGGGTCAGGTTCAGAGACCAGTTGCTACAGCAGTTGTAAGGCTTACCTGAAACCAGCAGGATTGGTACACCAGCGGCCCACCCTGGGAATGACGCAGGCTCACCTGAGGTGCGGGGTCTAAGCATCCACCGGTCTTCCCCAGAGCTCCTAATGGTGGAGATGGATTTGGCTGCGTGTGAATGCCAGGTCGCAGATCTCAGGATCACCCCACCAGGGAATGAGTAGGCTGGAAACCAAAAGTGGATCAAACAGTTCAGGGATCAAACAGAAGCGGAGTCAGTCACAAGCCAAGAGTCGGTCACCAATGGTAGTAGATAGGATGAGGCAGAATTGTAGTCAGTAGCAAGCCAATGGTCGGTAGCGTAGAGGAAGACGGCAGCAGGAACAGTAAGTGGGATATTGGCTGGTAAGGCACAATAATCTGGCAACCAGGAAGTGCAGAGACATGGCTTTTATAGGAAGTTCATGGGAGGAGCAAGGAGTTCAAGGTTCAAGACAAAACGGGGAAAAGGCAGGATCATCCAAAGAATTGTCAAGGGAGCTGTCCAGCATTCCAGGTGGCTCAGAGAGAAAAAACACCGTCTCTCACCGCAGAAGGCCCAGGTTTGATTCCAGGCTCTGACAATGTCACAGATCCTTATCATCCTCACCAAATCACAAATACACTGCTGAGGATGTTACACAGCTCATTGAATTCATACTTACACACAACTACTTTGCCTTCAATAAAGACATCTATCTTCAATGTATGGGTACTGCGATGGGAAGTAAAATGGCACCCCAATATGCCAATTTATTTATGGCTGACCTGGAGGAAAAATTACTGAACAGCATGGAACAAAAACCATACAGATACTATCGCTATATTGATGATATTTGCATCATATGGACAGAAGGTGAAGAAATCCTAAAACAATTTTACTCATTGATCAACACTTTTCATCAATCAATCAAACTAAAAAAAATTGAATACTCAAACACACACGTCAACTTCCTAGACACCACAGTATACATCAGGGATCATACGCTTCACACCTCAATATACAGGAAACCCACTGACAGATGCAACTACCTCCACAGTTCTAGCTTCCACCCCCAACACACGAAACGTGCCATCATACACAGTCAGGCCATTAGATACCACCGAATATGTTCCGACCCAAGAGACAGAGATAAACATCTCGGGACACTAGCAGACTCCTTCCATAAGAAAGGTTACAAGGACAAAACTATCAACACCAGCATAAACACAGCCTTGAGAACACAAAGAGAAAATCTACTTCAGTACAAAGAAAAAAAAAAACAAACAACCATGTACCTCTAGTAACCACATACAACCCAGCACTAGAAGGGATAAGAAAAATAATCAAAAGATTTACAACCCATCATAACAGAGGATGGAACTCTGAAAGAAATATTCCAGCAACCCCCAAATACTGGCCTTCAGACAACCCCCCAACCTCAGAAATAAACTAATCAGTAGGAAACTTCCTTCTGATCAAGATGTCACAAATAATGGAAGCACACCCTTTCAATAAGAAACGCTGCAAACTGTGCAACCAAATCAATCCATCAAAAAGCGTCAGACACTCAAAAGGGATCTTCAATATCTCCGGATCATACAGCTGCACCTCCAGTAATGTTGTGTAGCTTATCCAGTGCAGAAAATTCTTATGTTGGCGAAACAGGACAGAAGTTGTAAACAAGGATGAATTTGCACAGACATACCATCAAGGAACATAAAGAAGATGACCTCTGCACACCTGTGTGACACCATTTCGCACAACCAGACCACACTATGGAAGACCTTAATATCTTAGTTCTTAAAGGATATTTCAAAACTATCAGGAAAGGATAGTAGGACACCATTTCGCACAACCAGGCCACACAATGGGAGACCTCAATATTTTAGTACTTAAAGGAAATTTCAAATCCATTCAGGAAAGAAAAACTTTTGAACTAAGAATGATAATTCTATTTGACACAAGAGATAACGGCTTTAATTTGGACATGGGATTCCTCAATCATTATCCAACAGTTTTATGACTATTAGCTGAAGCTTGACTCCCTCTGTGTGAGTGTAGTATTCCCCCCCTTCCCCCCTTGCTTTTGCTGTATCTTATCTCTAGCCTCTCTTTTTTTTTTTTCTTCATCTCTTCTAACATTCTGCTGAAACTTTGTGATTTGTATACTACTGCTTGGACTTTGAAGAAGGGGACATACCCCGAAAGCTTGTCCTCAAAAATGTATGTTAGTGCAAATAAAAAAAGTATCACAATACTCAATTGCTTCTGTCATTTTCCAGAAACTTGTGGGAAAAAAATAAATCTTCCATGGACTCAATATGCCTCTCAGCAGATAGCTTAGGGTGTCTACTTTCTGAAAAGGGGTCATTTGAGGGTGTTTGTACTATCCTGGTATTTTAGCACCTCAAGATATTTGATGGGCAGTCAAAAAGTAAAAGCTGTGTAAATTCCATTATGTATACCATAGTTTGTAAATGCTATAACTTTCACACAAAGCAACCAATATACACTTATTGGGATTTTTCTTTAACCAAAAACATGTAGCAGAATATATTTTGGCCTAAATTTATGACAAAATTTAAGTTTTTTTGGATATTTTTTATGACAGAAATTAGAAAATATCGTTTTTTTTTTTGGGTTTAAATATTTTTTTCAAAGTTTTTTTGTTTATAGCTCCAAAAATAAAAGGTGCACAGGGGATCAAATACCACCAAAAGAAAGCTCTATTTGTGTGAAAAAAAGGACATAAATGTCATTTTTGTACCATATTGCATGACCGCGCAATTTTCAGTTAAACTAGTACAGCGCTGTATAGCAAAAATATGGCATAAATTGCAGTATCTATACCATAGTTTGTAGACGCTATAACTTTCACACCAAGCAATCAATATACACTTATTGGGATTATTATTACCAAAAAACATGTAGCAGAATACATTTTGGCCTAAATTTATAACTAACTTTGTGTATACTATATATTTTTTTTATAGCCAAAAGTAAAAAATATAATTTTTCTTCAAAACTTTCGTTTTTTTTTTTTTTAAAGAAGCACACAGGTGATCAAACACCACCAAACAAATGCTCTATTTCTGTGAAAAAAAGGAGGTAAATTTTGTTTGGGTGCAGCATTGCATGACCGTTCAATTATCAGTTGAATTAGTGCAGAGTCGAGTAGCAAAAAGAGGCCTGGTCATTAAGGGGGGGGGGGGGGGGTAAATCCTTTGGAGGGCAAGTCGATAAGATATGTCATGGATGGATCCCGCTCTCCTACATTTTCTACATGTTTTTAGATTTTATTTTTTATAAGTTTTATTTTTTATAACTTTTATGGTTATAAACGTTTTTTATACAATCCAAGGTAGATGTGCTTAATCCTCTACCCTCCAATAAAATGGCGATGTGAGCATTTTTATTTTTTCACCAATAAGTACCTTGTTTTAATAATAAGTTTTTTTCCTTTTGTATATTTCTTCCTTTTTTTTATATCTTCCGCTCATATGGTCAATATATTATCTACTATACATTTTCATGAAGATATCGGCTATATTTGCTCGGTTATAGGTATTGTTTTCCTATATATTTGAGTGTTGATGTCTGCTCTGTGTCCTTCAGTAAAATGGAGGCTCAACTACTTCCTGTTTTTGGTCTGTAATGCATTTATGACCCTTTCCAATTTTTGAACTTCTGGTTTTGGCAAGATGGCTTCTTGCACACTTTCGGTTCTGGTTTTGGTCCATGATTGAATGAAGGAGGGCGGAGACCATATTTTCTTATAAATATGTAAGTTTTCAGCACTGTACCACCCCTTGAGAATGTCCTATTGGATGAAACGCGTTGGAAAGGAGTTTACAGTGCTACCGCCACGCCGCTGCTTGATTCCGGGTTGGCAGCGGCTACAAATGTAAGCTGGTTTACCTGTGTTTATGTTTTCTGTACATTTATGGTTTTAACATTAAAATACTTCACTCTGGAAATTATATTTTGCTCCTGATGAGCCTTATTTCGCTAGAGCCTGCTTAAAAGTGGATGCTCTTCATACACTAATTGTTGTGACAGGCTGCATACTTGCTGGTGGAATCTGACAGGCGTTTGTGCTGCTGTAATGGCAGCCGATACTTCCGGTGAGTTTGCAATTCACTGGGAGACAGTGGTGGTGACATTTGCAACCGTATTGAATTGCCATCTATCAAGCATACCTTTTAAAGGGTGGTGGATGAACAGCTATTGAGCATGTTTTCACTTATATGGACGTTCCCTATAATTTCCTTTATATTGTTCTTTCACTTTAAACTGGCCATTAAATTCTGCATGTTCTGTGTATTTTTATTGTTTTGGGTTAGTATACTACCTATTAGTGTCAGCTGCTCACTTTTGCAGTCAGAGCAGATAATTGTTTCTATTTGATTGGTGCAGAGTCATGTTGGAACAGGAAGGGGTCATCCCCAAACTGGTCCCATAAAGTAGGGAGCATGAAATTGTCCAAAATGTCTTGGTATGCCAACGCCTTAAGAGTTCCCTTCACTGGAACTAAGGGGCCAAGCGCAACTCCTGAAAAACAACACAACACACCATAATCCCCCCTTCACTAAACTTTACACTTGTCACAATGTCAGTGGCAGCTTGCTATACACCACTATATCTGACACTTTGCATTGCACTTGGTGATGTAAGGCTTGGATGCAGCTGTTCGGCCATGGAAACTCATTGCATGAAGCTCTCTACACCCTGTTGTGCTAATCTGAAGGCCACACGAAGTTTGGAGGTCTTTAGCTATTGACTCTGCAGACAGTTGGTGACTTTTGTGCACTGTGTGCTTCAGCATGTCATTTTAAGTGGTCTGCCACTCTGTGGCTGAGTTGCTGTTGTTCCCAGTTGCTTCCACTTTGTTATAATACCACTAACAGTTGACCGTGGAATATTTAGGTGTAAGGAAATTCCACAAATGGACTTATTGCATAGGTGGCAGCCTATCACAGTATCATGCTTGAATTAACTGAGCTCCTGAGGGTGACCCATTCTTTCACAAATGTTTGTAGAAGCAGTTTTCATGCCTAGGTGCTTGATTTTATACACCTGTGGCCATAGAGGTGATTGGAACACCTGAATCCAATGATTTGGAGAGGTGGTCCAATACTTTTGGCAATATAGTGTATAACACATATGATGGAATTGCTCTCTAGGGTTTTATCATGCTGTCCCAAGTCAATGATCATAGTATGGAGCAGGCACATTCCAATATTTTGTATTAGCAAACTCAAACATATGAGATATGCATTTACATACTAGTTCTTTGTGCCTTTATACACCATGAACCTTAGATTCTAAGCAGCACTTGCTCTACTCTTAGATTCTAAGCAGCAGACACTGTATTTAACCATTGGTCAAAAGTGTATGTTTTTCTTTTTAGTTTTCGATACAGTTGGGAAGGATTATAATTCCTGTCTGTTTTTTACTGTTTTCTAGGGCCCTCACTTCCTGTTCTGCTGACAATGGTTTTACCTAAAAGGAAGTGAGAGAAAATCTGCAACAGGAAGACACACAGAAATCAAAATCTTGCCAGGGCTCTTGTCTTCCTCTGTTCCACTTTTATTTTTGTCTGCTGTTGGAGAGCTCCTCTCACATTCTGTCTGGTAAAAGGTTGTCAACAAGACAGGAAGTGAATGGAATTCTTTGTAATTGAGCCCTGGATAGTAATGAAAAACAGACAGGGTTTTTAACCATTCCCTATTCAATCCAAAGCTGAAAAAAGTCTTGACATTCACAGTAAAGCTGAAGTTTAATCTGTTTATATTTTGTCTTTCTTAGTTGCTCCATCCTCATCTCATAAACATGCCTTGTTGATTCTAGAGTCTATGAGTTCATGGGTGTCCTTTTCTTACCCTCTCTCCGTGGAATTTTGAGTTTGAGTGCATCTAAAAGTAACTGGCATCCATCTGTATACATTTTCCACTATTGTGTGGAGGCCTAGTTGGATAGGGCCTGCCTATAAGCCTGGGGATGGAAAGGCAGAAATCTTGGAACTCACTGGCCTCCTGAGAGAGGGCCACCGATTTGGCAAGGAAGGAGCAGCCCAGAGGGTAGCAGCAGCCAACCTGCAAGCGGTACAGGAGAAGATCTGGGTGAATACACCTGCACCCCC